CTGCCTTGCACAATCGCTGTAAAGGGCGCATAGTAATCCGTCCTGTTTATGTTGTACTTGCGAAGACAGCCATCGATGTGAGCGATCAATCTGTTGACAATATCTTTATTGTCAACATAGTCGATGTTAAAAGCGCTTCTTATGTATCCCACTTCTTTATCACTAAAACCGTGCTCCATCCGCGATTTTCTGTTTTGTGGTACTAAAACCAATACCAGTCAAAAAACATGAATTTGCACTCTAGTCAGTACTCCCGTGAGAGCAAGACGCACAACTTCTAAGTACAACCCCAACTCTATGACACTCAACAACCCCGCGTGTTGTAATGCATTTCAACTATTCTCTTGCTTGCTTACCTTGTTTGGACTTGAGATACTCTTCCTTGACCTGGTCCTCTGTAGCGTCAGGATGTTCTTTGCCATATTGAAGAACAAATCTCAAGTATTCACGTCGGTTTGCATCCATGTCGGGTGAAGAGAAAAATTTTTTGTGCAGTCACTCCCATTTCATGGGAAAATTTGTATGAATTGGTCATGTGGTAATGCATCACCGATAAAAAAAAAGGTGAGCTTGCAAGGGAGGGAAGCAGTCAGCCCATAGACCTGCCTCAAAAGGTGAAAACTGTCCCTGTTCTTTTGGGCTCACCATGCTAATTGTTTTCTTAAAGTTCCTTGCCCAGTTCTTTCTTATTTTCCACCCATAATTCTATCAACTTTAAAGTTTTCATCCTAGGATTCGTTTTACGTTTGTAAAAGAGTTCCTTGAACTCGTTCCAGAGAGTTAAAACATCTTCGTCATATGGCGATACTTGAGAGTTGTGTAGCCTGATACAACTGCAATTATTTTTTTCAATATCATTGAGCTTGTCAAGCACCACATTATATGCAGCAGTTTGTTGACAGTTCTGCATATATGAAAACAAGCATACACATACAATGGTGAAAATCGCATGTGAGCTCATCTTGTCAATAAACAACCAACTGACAGATAGCAGGAGGAGGAAAACTTCTGCAACTTTGGATGAGAATGTCTATAAATGAAACACAATCAGCATCCGTTCCCACATAGCAATAGATGTTTGTCAGAAACACAATATAACGAACCATTTTTTTGATATGCAACTTCGTCACTCGCAGTTTGTTCTAGAAAGTCTTTCACATTTAGTTTTGAAAAAAGTATTCAGCCAAGGTTTTGTTTTGCAGTTTGATTCATCCCGACCTTGCTTTTATATTTGCACAGTCAAATGCTAGTCACATTCCACTGCAGCATAGTCTAACGCTAAGAATTGAACTAAAAATTAGTCCAGAAATTCGGGCATGAGCCACAACTGTTGAAAGCAAAGCCTTCCCAAAACGTCATCAGCTAAATTAGTTTATTTTCCAGTCACGCCAGCCTCTTTTAGCTCACACAGCCAAATGTTCACTTTGTCTGGTTTTGTTGCAGTCTGCCCCATATATAATCAACACACACAATTTCCACACATCAATTATCATTGGTCACACTCCACATTTACCAAAGTTCCTAATAAGCATTTATAATAATAATTGGGTATCACATACTAGTATGTATGATTTTCTCTATAAGAACAAATGAACTGACATCAAGCAGAGTCTACAGGAGTTGATAACAAAAGAAGTATAAGTATACAAAGAAAAACAGCACAAACTTATCATCGACTAAACATTGGTAACAACTTCATGGCTTGGTATTGGACATAGAGTGGTGTGTACAGCATATGAGATACAATAGAGTAATAATAAGGTAGGCTTTATTATGGGTTTTATTGTATCATCTCATCTTGTTTATTTCTTATCCATCAATCTGCTACTACCTATATCTCGCTTGCAAGCAACCATTTGTAATGTATTTCATTTTCATA